GGAAGACCCAAGATAAGTACCCAATCTATGTGAGGAAGCTGGCCAGGGACCTAAGTCCAGATGCCTCTAATTGGCTCAGATGGGTGCACATTTTCCAGTAGATCCCTGCACATTTAGGACAATTCCCCAGTTGAATTCAGAGGTGATGGTTCTGAGACTGTCCCGTCAGGATCTGCTGTGAAAGGGTGGCTGACAAACTCACGTCAGTAGTCCAGATGTGTGTACTTCCCAGCTGTTTGCTGCATGGGCAGAGGAATTCCCTGAGTACAATGGGAAGGGCTGGAGCTAAGACCATGCATCCTCAGGATCCACTGTGGAATGGATGCTGGCAGCCCTCCCTGGTAGCTCAGGTGGTTACACAATCTCCCACAGTTCCATGTATGTGCAAGAGAATTTCTCAACTGCAGTTAGAGGAGCTGGAGTTGAGACCGTGTCCCCTCAGGATCTGCTTTGGGACAAAGGCTGGTGGTCCCATCAACAAGGTTCAGAAAAAATGGGTAATTGTCTGGCTGTGAGATAAGGGTAAGTCTTTCTCTGGGTAGTGTGAGCAGTAATAAAGTAAGATCACAGCTGAGTGGGTCTGGAGCCAAACTGCAGAGCAAGTTTCAGATTCACTGCCAATATTTAACGGGCAGATGAGTTTTCCTGCCAAGGCACTAGTGTGAGTGATTCATCCTAGACACATTGGTAGATGTTTTTTGTTCAAGACTCAAGGCCAAATGGGGCGGTAGCCAAGCCTTTGGTTAATGGGAATGTTTCCACGTTTTTATCATCGGCAGGTCTGCTATCCAGGTATTGGTCTGCAATCTCAAAAGTGCCCACATAGGGCTTAGGTTCAACTGCGTTTTCACAGGTTCCACCTGATTCCTGAGTCTTCCAAAGAGAGACTTGTCTGTGGATGAGTGGACAATTCTCAGAGTTGAGGGATATGAGTGGGTTACCTCCTGTTGCACCATCTTTCTGACACAGTGTTTGTATTTCTATTCTGACTGTATCGTGTATATTGTGGAATTAGGTGAATACATAATTACAGTGACTCATTGGTTACCAAGATTTTCTGTGTGGGAGAAAAAGAAGTAGAAGTGAGACTGATGAACAAAACATGTAGTTCTGAGTTTGGAGTGGGACTATAAATATGAGCTTGTGATGATATTTATCCTTAAAAAATTCCTACAGCCCATTTTATTTTTCTAGGTTTGTCCCCTTAGAAGGCCTAGGAATCAGGAATAACCTAGTAATTTCCATATCCACTAAAAAGATCCTTGCTAATTTCCAGTGTAGGGCAAGAAGTTTCAGTAAGAGGCTTGAGCAACTTTGCTACATCAGAAAGTAAGGCCGGGCGCGGTGGCTCAAGCCCATAATCCCAGCACTTTGGGAGGCTGAGGCAGGTGGATCACAAGGTTAAGAGATCGAGACCATCCTGGCCAACATGGTGAAACCCCGTCTCTACTAAAAAAAAAAAAAAAAAATTAGCTGAGCGTGGTGGTCGCACGCCTGTAATCCCAGCTACTCGGGAGGCTGAGGCAGGAGAGTTGCTTGAACCTGGGAGGCGGAGGTTGCAGTGAGCCGAGATTGTGCCACTGCACTCCAGCTTGGAGCCTGGCAACAGAGTGAAACTCTGTCTCAAAAAACAAAACAAAACAAAAAGAACAGAAAGTAATAGAGTTTTTAATGACAGAGGCGTATTGATGGAGTTCAGAAAGAGTTGACTTGAAAAGGATCTCACTGTCACAGATAGGACATTTTGAGCTTCAATAAAGCAATTACTGTGATAGATCCAAGCATTTCAAATAAGCTGAAATTCATGAGTATACAATTATGCCAAAAAAATTGGTCACTTGGGGAGAATGCCATAAAAATCATTCATTCTCTTGAGAACTGGCAAATAAGTAGAAAGAATAAATCATGTATTCTTTGATTTCCTCAAGGTAATAAGATAGTTACTGAGGAGAATGTCTCTTTAGGAATAGTCTGAAAAATAAGTGAAGAATGTTTAATACTTTTCTTCTTTAACCCCTAGGCTATTTGTTCATAAGATGTGACTCAGGGCACCTTGAGGTCCCCGACTCATTTTCAGAGGAACCATAGTTCCCAATAATTCTTAACAACAATCCTTAAACAGGCTATTTACATTTTTAATTGTATTGCTCTCATGATTGTATGTTGTTCTCTAGAGACTACATGGACTATAATATTGCATCAGGTTGGATGCCAAAGCAGAAATGAAAATGTAGCTGTTTTCTTATTAAGCCAGAAATTAAAGAGAATTGCCAAAACGCAAAATAAATAATAAATAAATAAATACATGCAGCTATAAAGCCACACTTCTGACTACAGAATTGGAAAAAATTAAGAATAAAGATGTAATTTTTGTTGATATGTAATCCATGTTTAATTCTAGAGACATTTATAAATATTTTAATTATTAGTTTTTACTTCTAAGATATATCTAGCAATCTGTCTGGACAAACTATATATATATATGTATATCTATACACACACACACACAATCTCCATGTAAACAAAATTTTTCTGGTATTCTCAATTTTTTTATTGTGGTAAAATTCAAATACATAAGATTTACCATTGTTGCAATTTTTTAAGTGTACAATTCTGTGTTCTTAAGTACATTCACACTGTTATGCCATTCTCAATAACTTTTACATGTGTAAAATGTGTAAAAGTTGAGACCTATTAATCTAGTAATGAATGAAGACCACCAAACCTTATACACCTCTTGTGATAAATACATAGTATAATAAAACCTGAATCTGATCACATCACATGTCAACTGATATATAGTAAATAAAGGGGACAAAGGGTCATGTTAAATGGCATTATAGCTATGTAATCAGCAAAATCCAAACTGGATGATTTTACAAGAAGAACGAAGCAATTTCTAGGATAAAAATGAGAGAAGAAACCTACAGATTAGAAAAGATTTATGGAAGATACCATTTAATTTTAATGCATGAATCTTACTTTTATTCCAATTTAATGAATAAAATGTTTAAAAGCAATTATGAGACAGTTGGAAGAAATTTGAATGCTGATAAACTAGATATTCAATGATATTAAGAAACCTTTAATTTAGAGATTTCATAATGTCATTTTGGCTACGTGTTAAAAAAGTCTATATATTACAGAAAGACACATTGAAATACTTAAGGAAGAAATGATACAATATCTGAAATTTATTTTAATCACGAGTGGATAATTATTTCAAAACTGTCTAATGAGTGAAGGGTGGTTTTTATACTGCTTTGTTTATCTTTTTATATACAAAATTGTTAATTAAAAAGCTGAAAAGGAGTCATTCTTTGCCTCATGGTCTTCAGTCACTTAGTAGCTGGTTTGGTCATCAGATTGACTGCTGCAGTGTCACAGTGCTTGCAGAATTACTACAAGCACAGTTCAACTAACTCTTATTTTAGTTTTTTTTTTTTTTTTTGAGACGGAGTTTCGCTCTTGTTACCCAGGCTGGAGTGCAATGGCGCGATCTCAGCTCACCACAACCTACGCCTCCTGGGTTCAGGCAATTCACCTGCCTCAACCTCCTCAGTAGCTGGGATTACAGGCACGCGCCACCATGCCCAGCTAATTTTTTGTATTTTTAGTAGAGACAGGGTTTCACCATGTTGACCAGGATGGTCTCGATCTCTTGAACTCATCATCCACCCGCCTTGGGCTCCCAAAGTGCTGGGTTATTTTACTTATTAATGCCTCCAAAGTACAGGAGGAGTGATGCTGGCAATTTTGATACGCCAAATAGAAGCTGTAAAGTGCTTCCTTCAAGTGAAAAGGTGAAAGTCCGCCATTTGATAAGCAAAGAAAAAAAATTGTATGCTGAAGTCGCTAAAATTTTCAGTAAGGATGAATTTTCTATCCGTGAAATTGTGAAGAAGGAAAAATAAATGTTGCTAATTTTGCTGTTGTACACCTCACAGTGCAAAAGCTATGACACAGTGCATGCATGGTAACTGCTTAGTTGAGATAATTAAGACATTAAACTTGTGGGTGGAAAACATAAACAGAAATGTGTTCCAACTGATGACAATTATGTTTAGCACTATCTGCAGGTTTTAGGCACCACTGGGAGTCTTGGAATGTGTCCCCTGTGGATAAGGGGGAATGACTGTATTTTAATATATTGGCCAAAATAGCACAGACACATGCACACACACACACACACACACACACACACACTCACACACACACACACTCACAGAAACAGTTGGGAAGCCCTTATAATTAGAGGCTGAAGGTCTATTTCTGAAGGTCGTTCATCCAGAAGTTATAGTTATAATCATGAGTAAATTAACAGTTACCAAGGTAAGGACTTTTAGAGGAAAATCTTAAGCCCCCCAAAAAACTACTGTTGCGGGTTGATAATTTGGGAAGAAAAAGAGTAAGAGTAGTAAGCCCAAGGTGGTTTTCTTCAAAGGAGTTTGGAGCAGAAACAAAGAAAGCATAATATTTTTTGGCTCAATGTAAACTATTTTAGCAAGAAGAGGAGGATCTACTATGTTAACTAACGAGAGAAAAAGGAAGAAATTAGATGACTCTGAAAGAAAACACTTAACTTGGCAGTTACAGCAACTCAGATTACTTTTACTGAGAAAATGAATTTGCAGCTAAGAGCTCTTGCCAGAGATCCACAAATAGGAAGCACTGTCCTCAAGGAACTTACAGATAGAAGGAGAGGTAACACAAAAATAACTCCAATGCTGTGGGTACAGAGTAGGTAGGTCTCTGCACGGTTCCTTTTATTATAGCACTAGGGAAGCCTTCCTGGAGGAGGAAACATCTCAGCTGAGCCTTGAGGGCTAGAAAGTCATTCAGGCAGAGACAGAGAAGAAATTACATCAAAAAAGCTCTACATCTTTACAAATACAGTGGTCCCAGCATAATTATATTTGGTTTACTTTGACAAATGATATTTAACCAGAAGCAAAAAAAGAAGTTTTATAATAGGAAGCCAAGGTTAAGTCACTATTAAGTCATACGTATTATATTTCATTTATTTTGAGACACACTCTTTCCAACATTTTAACATATGTAAAATCTGGGTGGATCATACTGTTAATACAGTCTCACAATAAATTTACAGTCTTAAGTACTTTTTTCTGCTGTTTTAAATTATAATTTATTTAAAAAATAGGAAAACTCTGATTTCATCAAATTTGATAATCATTTGATGAAATGTGATACGATTGACTCTTGGTCTCATATCTTGGGCTTCTTGGTACTTATTCCAAATGGGAGAGGAGACATGATGAGGGCTCATGGGATATTCTGATATGATCTGTTAAAAACAGAAGAACAAAAGAGCTCTGCATAAGAGATATTTGTACACCCATGTTCATAGCAATATTATTCATGATAGTTAAAAGTGAAAGCAACCCACGTGTCCATAGACAGATGAATGGATGAACAAAATATGTTATATGCATATGGTGGAATATTACTCAGTTTTAAAAAAGGAAGGAAACCCTGTCACATGCTACAACATGGATAAACCTCAAGGACATTACACTAAATGAAATATGACAGTCACAAAAAGACAAATGCTTTGTGATTCCACTTGTATAATGTACCTAGAGTAGTTGCATTCATAGAGATAGAAAGTAAAACAGTCTTAACCAGGGCCTAGAGAAGAGGGGGAAATGGGAACTTGCTATATAATAATAGAGTTTCAGTCTTGCCAGACGGAAGAGTTTTGGAGGTTGCTTGCACAACAATGTGAATACACTTAACACCACTGAACTGTACACTTAAAAATGGTAAAGATGGTAAACCTTATGTTACGTGTATTTTAACAGAATTTTTAAAATGTTCACGTAAAAGAGATGGGAGTTTGGGGAAAGGGCATGGTGAAAATATTGAGGATAAACTACTTAAATAGATAAAATGCTAAAAGAATGGAAGAGTGGACAGAGAAGAAATATTAGGGAAAAAAAACCACCCACAACTCACCGGCGCCTTATATACCATAATGCAAGGCATAGCAAAAGGATCAAGGAAGGCACCATTATTGCCCAGATGATCGAGCCAATGGAGGTGGGGTTTCCTGGCAATTGAGAGACAACAAAAGGATGCCACTTCAGATCCTATACACAGAATCCCTTGGCCCTCCTTTGCCCACCTACTTCCAATGTATGGTCATCTCCAACTTCTCTCTCATATTCCTGGACACCATATATCCATCCTTTCATCTTCTCTACCCAGTTTACAAGTCCTTAATTCCTTCCTTTTGGAGAACTTGGATTATCTATTTTTACTTCTGTTGGGATTGGGGTCCTGGAAATCAATCAACCTCTTTCTCTCCCTCTTTCACCTCTCAAGCTCTGTCTTTCCCCAGTGCCTCCCTCTATGCCTAAGGATCACTTCCTGGCATTTCCAGCTTGGGCCCCCGCTCTTTCTTACTCCAGTAGAGGATGATGTCTTGGCCCTCTAAACTGCTGTGCTTTACTCGACAAGACAGGCCAGCTGCCTCCCCAGCTGCCACATCCAGGGTTGCTCGGAGATACCATGTCCAGTTAGCATTGGGCAGGACGTCCCCTCGCTGAGTGCCCGGCTGCTCCTGCTCACCCCGCATCCACATCACCCACACGGGCTTTGGGTAGAATCCTGAGACATGGCACACAAGCAGCAGATGGCCAGGGCCAGGACTGGGGCCACTGGACAGCCAGGCCTCGGGCTTCACTAAGGCAGGAAGGGGCAGAGAAAATGTCATGTTATAACTCGCGTTCTGAGGTTATGGACTCAGAAACCTACAAACTTGAACAGCGACCCCACTGACTCCTTTGGGAACCAAATAACTTGTTAATTAAGCTCCTGATGTCTTCCTACTCTTGATCTTAGAGGAGGTGGTGGGAAGTGAAATAAGAGCAGAACTCACCTTTTCTTTGCAGATCTGCTTTTCCTGCATTGAGGACGCCCAAGAGATATCGGGGGCAGGTTTTATAGAGGAGAAGTTTCACAATTTCCATGATACCTTGATATTGCATGATTAGTGCACAGACCTTCTGTGCCCTGCTGCCACCTTCTGGGGAAGGCACACATGAAGCATTCTTGACACTCAGGAAATCCCTTCCTTCAAAAGCTCCCCGCAGGAAGCTTACTATGGCACCTCCAGAATGTAGCTCACAGCCTGCTATGCCCTGGATCTCAAAGGGGTCTATGTAGAAGGAAAACAGAGAGAAAGTTATTACGCATAAGTAAGAAAGGCATGAGAAAAGCACCTAGGACTTTAGATTTTGGTGGGGATGAAGTTCTTGGGTGTAAACTGATGATGAGCTAAAAACTAATTATAACATTTAGACATTTTCAGAAACAAAAGCATTGGGAAAAATGTGCATGCCGTGAAAACAAAGGTGTGTGATAAAGGTGTACCGTGAGTAAGACGGGAGAGGAGAGGCAGAGCGTGGTGCAGTCAGGAGTGTGGCATTCCAGAGTGAGCTTGAGGTTCTCAGCAAGAGGAGGGTGCGTGGAGGAGATTATTGAAGAGATGAATTAGGGGAGAAAGCCACACATTAGATGACTGAGGCACAGGGTGGGAGAAGTAAGGGCCCTTGAGGAGAAGTTTAACACAAGACAAACCAGCAGGTGGTTGCAAAGTGGGAGCCTAATTCTGAGAGTAAGAGAAGAGTGCACAGGTAGCAAGAATCTAAAATACGAGGTGTGAGTGTGAAGCTGGAGTGAGAGACTACTCTAGAAAAGCGTGTGCATGGAGTTGGGTAAAACAGAACGGAAGGGAGAAGGATCAGAGAGAGCAACACCTTGCAAAAAAGAGAGAAAAGAGAGTCCTTGAGAATCTTCTCAGTTCAGTGGACTGGACTCACATTTCATCTGGAAATCACCGGCAAAGTCTTGTACTTCTCGAGCGAATCCAAAGAGGTAGACTCGGAATATCTCCTCTATCTCAGCAATCTCCATATCACTGAAGTTACCTTTAGACCAAGGCTTCAGGAATATGGCAGTGCCCGAGTCACTGTCCCAGCCATGAATCTGCAAATCTTCCAACCAGCCTGAGCCTTGAGTTTGTGCCCAGGTACTGTTGGTAAAGGACGAGGTCTGGATGACATGAAAGGAGGTTGGCCCCTGGAACGCTGTGAAGAGTGGAAAAGCAGACGGTGAAGATAAACGGAGAAGCAGGAGGAAATTAGGAAGAATGGAAATGAAAATGATTCAGAAAACAGGAACCTAGAATCTAAAGAACACATAAAGCCCGACACATTTGACTGCCTTAGGGCTTCAGGCTACAGTCTCAACCACGAGAATGGTTGAAGAGGGCTGGAGACAGAAAGACCCAGACCTGTAGTGTCCAATTGCACCTAGGAAAGTGCTGTATGCTTTTTAAAAAAATCCACACCCCTGCACCAGTGCTGGGAGCTGCCAGAGTGATCTTACCAGGTTCACCGTCGCCACTGGGAAGGAGAACAGCTAACAGTTGAAATGGCAGTGGCAACATTTCACTGGGAGGTGCAACTTCTTACTGGCAGAGCTGGTATTTGATCTCTAATTTCAGCAAACCTTTTCCTCAGCACCCTGTAGTGACTTCTTCTCTCTTCCAACTGACGAATCTCTTCCTCATCCAAAATGTGCCTCCCACAGCTCTGAGCCTCTTATCCACTTTTTATTTCCCTCAAGCCCTGACTTTTAGACTTTCTCTGACCTCCCTGATTTCCAGCTGCTCTCCCTGTCCTCAGCTTCCTTCAAAGGGCTTTGGAAAAGCCCCCATACGACTCAGAATTTTCATTTCACCTTCCCAGTTCAGTGGACTAGACTCGCATTTCATCTGGAAATCACCAGCAAAGTCTTGTACTTCTCGAGCAAATCCAAAGGAGTAGACTCGGAATATCTCCTCTATCTCAGCAACCTCCTTATCACTGAAGTTACCTTTAGACAAAGGCTTCAGGAATATGGCAGTGCCCGAGTCCCCTTCCTTAGCCTTTATACCCACATCTATAGAATAAGACGATGATATTAAACAACTGCTAAGCTTTTAGTCTGCTTTAACCTAGGGATGCCTTTGGATTGTCCACTTAAGTTAGTCTTTCCGCTTCCCAGCTGTCTTATCTTCTCTGGCAATCTGTTACTGCCCCTTCCCAATGTTCTCAGGGCCTTTCTTATATTGTCCTCATTGTCTGATGTTCCTTACCTCACATTCTAAGCTGGCTGTGTGTGTGCGTGTGTGTGTGTGTGAGAGAGAGAGAGAGAGAGCTATAGAACTACAACCCAAATGCCAGAATCAAATAACATAAAGACTGCAGTTTATAACTCAAACAAAATTATACTAATTTTTTCTGGGAAAAAATATGATAATTGCTACTAGCATACGACCTTCTCTTCAGGAGCTTTGACCTGCGGAGTTCTGAGTAACAAATATTCATGAGATAAACAGAACTCTAGGAGCTATGCTCTGTGCACCTCCAGACTAAGCCAAAGACCTTTCTTCTTTTGTAATATCTCATAACAGCTGTCTACACTTGGACCTTCATATCACCACATGAGGCATTAACAATAGAGCAAAGAGGTCACTATTTTTTTATACGAAAAGTTCAGAGATGTTTGTTTTGAGATGTCACTTCCTACCTTCTTGTATGCCCATGAAAAATTTTAAGAAGAATTTTTGAATTTTCTCCAGTTAAGAAAAAGCCACATATTTGCATAGATCTATATATCATGCAGAAATGTAGTGTCAACCAATTCCAAATGTAGAGGGTTATCACTAACTAATTCTATCATGTTGGTAAGAAAATGCAGAGCAAGTAATGTAGTGTTCTCTATTCCTGGGAACAAATGGTTCACAACATTAATAAGACTAGCCTTCATCCAAGATCATCACTGCCTAATTGGTAGATACAGAGTAGCTCTCCAAGTTTCAATGTATGTATCTCTTAACAATATTTCCAGACTCCAGTACATAACAGAATTGAATCCACTTTTTGGATAACAGCCATAGACAACAGCAGAGACTCAACATTGGCTATCACTGACATGAACATTATTATTTTTGTCTTTATAAGCTTTTTATTTTGGGTAGAACACCCAATACAGGGTTCAGAATAAGCTGGTAGACAACCCGAGCTATTTTCCATTAAAATGAGTGAATTCTTGCAAGACTTCTAGAATTGAAGTGATACAAACTAAATCTGAAGTGTTCCTCGTTTAAAAAAATAATCCAAAAGTTAGTAGGTCACATGTGCAGAAAGATGAAACTGGACCTCTGCTTGATAATTTATACAAAAATTAACTCCAGATGGATTAAAGATTTAAGCATAAGACCTAACGCCATAAAAACCCTAGAAGAAAACCTAAGCAATACCATTCAGGACATAGGCATAGGCAAGGACTTCATGACTAAACTATCAAAAGTAATGGCAGCAAAAGCCAAAATAGCTATAAGGGATCTTAAGAGCTTCTGCACAGCAAAGGAACAATCATTAGAGTGAGCCAGCAACCAACAAAATGGGAAACATTTTTTGCAAGCTTTCCAGCTGACAAAGAGCTAATATCCAGAATCTACAAAGAACTCAAACAAATTTACTAGAAAAAAATACAAACAACCTCATCAAAAAGTGGGCGAAGGATATGAACAGACACTTTTCAAAAGAATACATTTATGCAGCCAACAAACATATTAAGAAATACTCATCATCACTGGTCATTAGAGAAATGCAAATCAAAACCACATTGAGATACCATCTAATGCCAGTAGGAATGGAGATCATTAAAAAAATCTAAAGACAACAGATGCTGGAGAGGGTATGGAGAAATAGGAACACTTTTACACTGTTGGCGGGAATGTAAATTAGTTCAACCATTGTGGAAGACAGTGTGGCTATTCCTCAAGGATCTAGAAATAGAAATACCATTTGACCCAGAAATACCATTACTAGGTATATACCCAAAGGATTATAAATCATTCTATTATAAAGACACATGCATACATATGTTTATTGCAGCACTGTTCAATAGCAAATACTTGGAACCAACCCAAATACTCATCAATGATAGACTGGATAAAGAAAATGTGGCACATATAAACCACGGAATACCATGCAGCCATAAAAAAGGATGAGCTCATGTCCTTTGCAGGGCCATGGATGAAGCTGGAAATCATCATTCTCAGCAAACTGACACAAGAACAGAAAACCAAACACTGCATGTTCTCACTGATAAGTGGGTGTTGAACAATGAGAACACATGGACACATGGAGGGGAACATCACACACTGGGGCCTGTTGGGGGGTGGGGGAGCTAGGGAAGAGATAGCAGGGGGTGGGGGGATTATGGAGGGATAGCATTAGGAGAAATATCTAATGCAGATGACAGGGCAATGGATGCAGCAAACCACCACCATGACAAGTGTATACCTATGTAACAAACCTGCACAATCTGCACTGTACCCCGGAACTTACAGTATAATAAATAAATAAATGACAAAAATTATCTGATAAAAGTAAAAAAGGCAGAAAGTTTTCAATAATTCTGTTTATCATTTTATTGATAAGAAATATAATAAAAGGTATAATAATTGAAACAAAACTAATGAAACTTTCATATTTAGAGCTGTCATTAGAAAATCTGAAAGGCTCTATAGATAAAATATTAAACTTGATAAGTTAAGTTAATTTAACATGGATACTGGTTGCAAGGTCAATTTATTTTTATGTATAACATACAGTAGGCATCTCCTTATTCGTGATTTTGTTTTCCACAGTTTTAATTACCCATGTCAATGGCAGTCTGAAAATATTAAATGGCCAATTCCAGAAATAAACTATCTATTAGTTTTCAATTGTGCAACATTCTAAGTAGTATGAGGAAATTTCATGCCAGCCTACTTCATCCTGACAAGGATGCAGGTCACCGCTTAACCCAACATGTCTACTCTGTGTATGCTTCCCAACCATTAGTCACTTAATAGCTGGCTCAGTTATCCACCTGTCCTGGTCTTGCAATGCTTGTGGTAAAGTAACCTTTATTTTACTTAATTACAGCCCCAAAGCACAGAAATATTGATGCTTGTAATTCAAATATGCCAAAGAGAAGCCATAAAGTGCTTCTTTTAAATGAAAAGGTGAAAGTTCTTGACTTAAAAATGAAAAAAAAAAAAAGAATATGCTGAGGTTGCTATGATCTACATTAAAAAGGAATCTTCTTTCCATAAAACTGTGATGAGGAAAAAGGGAATTTGCACTAATTTTACTGTCACCCCTCAAATTGCAAAAGTTTTTACCAGAGTGTGTGATAAGTACTTAGTTAAGATTTTTAAAAGACATCAAATTTGTGGGTGGAGGACATGAACAGAAAGGGGCTCCAATTGACAGCACTCACATTCAGCAACCTGGGCATCCACCAGGGGTCTTGGAATGAATCCCCCGCAATTCAGAGGGGACTACCTACCTGCTACTTTGTATTCTTTGACCTACATCTCCTCATGTCTGCCCACCACCACCTGCTTCCTGCCACTGGTAATCACTGTTTTATACTCTGTTTCTGTGTACTCAACTCTTTTAAGATTTCACATATAAGTGAGATTATTCAATCAATATCTGAGAAAGCCTACGTCTTGAGGAGCTTATCAGAAGTGTATACGGTCTTTAGGCTCATAGGAGTACATGAGTCAGAAGCATCGATTAAAACTTCGATTTACAAAACCACATTGAGATACCATCTCACGCCAGTTAGAATGGCGATCATTAAAAAATCTGGAGACAACAGATGCTGGAGAGCATGTGGAGAAAAAGGAACACTTTTACACTGTTGGTGGGAGTGTAAATTAGTCCAACCATTGTGGAAGACAGTGTGGCGATTCCTCAAGGCCTTAGAAATAGAAATTTCATTTGACCCAGCAATCCCATTACTGGGTATATACCCAAAGGACTATAAATCATTCTACTATAAGGACACATGCACACGAATGTTTATTGCAGCACTGTTTACAATAGCAAAGACCTGGAAGCAACCCAAATGCCCACTGATGATAGACTGGATTGGGAAAATGTGGCACATATACACCATGGAATATTATGCAGCAATCAGAAATGATGAGTTCGTGTCGTTTGTAGGGACATGGATGAATCTGGAGAACATCATTCTCAGCAAACTGACACAAGAACAGAAAATGAATATTCTCGCTCATAGGCGGGTGATGAAAAATGAGAACACATGGACACAGAGAGGGGAGTACTAAACACTGGGTTCTATTGGGGGGAAAAGGGGAGGGCCAGTGGGAGGGGGAGGTGGGGAGGGATAGCCTGGGGAGAAACGCCAAATGTGGGTGAAGGGGTGAAAGCAAACAAAACACACTGCCATGTGTGTACCTATGCAACTGTATTGCATGCTCTGCACATGTACCCCAAAACCTAAAATGCAATTAAAAAAAAGAATAAAAAAAAATAAATAATAAAAAAAACAAAAAACTTCGATTTAGAAGTGTGCACGTGTTGATTTTTTAATTTAAAACAACTATTGGGACTACAGATAATCTTTCCCTAGAAGACAGGTTTCTAAGGCCAAGGAACAAGGGTACCAATGCACAGTAGAAATGGAAACCATGCCAGAGAACTGAACGAGCATAGTCACAGCA